GGAGCAGAAACTGAAATCGATTATAGAATACATACACATCCCTGGCTTTTTTTTCTATGCCTAGGCACTTTTTAACCTAACCTTCACACACTCACACTCTGATGGATGCATCCAGGGCATCTCAGGGTTTGGCATCTTCAGAGATACTTCAACATCTAGATTGAAGGAGCCAGAGCTTGGACTACCCTCTTTCTTAACAGTAGACACCCACCCTCTTCCTCCTGAGCCACAACCGCCTTTAAAGGCACATAGAAGACAGGATATGCAGCATATTGCATGTTTGGCACACGGCTCAGGCAGCATCGAGAGATTACTGCCGACCTGTCTGTAAAAATAAAGAAAAGGCAGGAAATTAAAATGACAAAAATGAAAAATGCTAATAATAGAAAACAATAATGGGATGCTCCCAGCGCTCCCATTGAAACAGATTACCTTCCAGCTTAGTGACAGATCCAACCACCAAGGCAATATTCAAAGGGCTGAACATAATCATGCAGTATACAGAAGCATCACGGAAGACGTGGTGGACATGTGAGGAATAAAAAGAGTCTGCCGATTTATTCAAACATGGAACAAGACAGCTTTAATTTCTCATTAAGCCCACAGAGAAACACTTTTCCTGGGTGAAATCCCCAGTGATGGCACCATCATCTTAACGCTTCACACCTGTGCATCTTTATGCCAACAAACACACAACACATCCAAACCACGTCAAATCCACCTGGTTGTGTTCTTACAGTTAACTTTGAATAGATTTTAAGTCCATGTGACAGCATTTGTATTGGTAGTGACGACAAGTTTACTTGAAATCTGTTTTCAAATCTCTAGCGCACTTCTTAGAAGCGCAACTTGTTGTTGGTACGCTAGCTTCCTCTCACATCCCAAAGGTTTGCGGTTTAAGTTAAATGACAAATTGGCTGCATGTGTAAGCCTGAGAGTGTGGAGTCGTATGTCTTTGTGTTAGCCCAGCTACGGATCATAACCTGTACAGGATGTACACCAACCTTAGCCCTATGATAAGTGGGAATTACCATTGGTAATTGTGGGTAGTTGAAAGTTGATTAAAACTGTGAACCAAAACATGTGGCTCAATATTTAAGGTCTGACTCTCATTATCCACTGGAGCACTAATTATGTGTCATTAAAAAAACTGCAACACTGAGCAAACACTGTCCCCAAAGACACAGTTGCCAAGGAAGCAGAAGAACACCATATCAAATATGATCTGGGTAAATTTGGTTATCCCAGCTGAGCATTTGTCAAAGTAGAGAAGACACCTAAAGAAAGCTCCAGGCGATCCAAGACAGAAGAAAAAGGAAAAAAA